TGCTTTCAGCACCAGGTTTATTGGTCGCAGTGACTTGCGTTGGTTTCCAAAGTAATTTTTCTGCAAAGAGCAGCTCAAGGGTTTGGTCGTTCCTTGAAACCCTTCAGGAGAAGTTGATTTTCCAACGGTGTCTTGCCTGGAGAGCACCGTAAGCACCCCGGGTGTGGGCACGTGGGCTTTTTAGCCGGTTTAGAAAATTTCTGTATAGCGATGCTTGCTGGTTGTCTTCTGCTGACAGGGAAGGAAAGGCAGTTTGGTCCCGACTCCTTGGGGAGATTTTGGTGTCAGAGGTACAACGGAGCCAGCTCCGCACGGTGGGGACATGGAGAGACTCTGTGCCCATTGTCAAGGGGAGCGCATGAGATTTCTGGGCTGCTGGAGGCGATCGTGCAGTCAAATGTATCGATGTTTGTGCTGCCTGCAAATAGTGGGCTGGAAGGAGACTGTTGGGGTTTTTTTTCTTGTCTCTCAAAGTGCATTGAGGCTGCCTGACAGCACCAGCAATCAAAGTACTTTCCATTCTTCCAGGAGGTAAAATAAGAAAACTGACTGAAAATAAGGTTCCCAGAATATCTCAGTAAACATGAGAGAAAAATCAGCGCGGTCCCTTCAGCCTCCTTTGTCAGCTCTCGGCTCCCTCCTGGCTTGCCGACGGCCACATCCCTCGCTGGCACGCGTCCGGGCACTCCCGGGGGGTGGGCTTGTGCCAAGTGACCCCAACCAAGGATTTTACTGTGCAACCCGAAAGATGAGACATCTGCTTATTGGCTTTTGTGAGCTTTTTATTAATTAGCGCTTTTAGAAAGGGCTTGGAAGGCCTTGCATGCTAAGCGCAGAGGTAGGAAGAGGTTTTCTTCTCATGATGTTTCTGTCGGGATCTCTTGCTCTTGCATTTTCTCTTCCAGCCCGGCTCGGCCGCGGTTGGGGGCACGGGGTGTCTGTCGGTGTGTAACTCTGCCCCCTCCCCAGGTGAAGCCGTGGGGAAGAGCAGCGTGGTCCCTTTGCCGTACGAGAGGTTCCTGAAAGAGCCAGGCTCGCTGGCGGTGGCTGGCTTGCCTGAGGGGATCAGCTTTAAGAAACCTATGGAGTACGACGTGAAGTCCCTGATGGCCATCTTAGAGCACAGCCACAGCATCCGCTTCAGGCTAAAAAGGTAATTTTGGGGATCCCTGAAGGGGTGGGAGGGCAGCAAGCCCTTGGGATGGCGGCTCTTGTAACACTGGCGGATGGCAGAGATTTTGTGTGGAGCAGGCAGGAGAGGCCCTCCCATGTCCCAGCTTCTCCCCCAGACCCAAAAACCTGGGTCCAGCCGTGCCAAACCCAGCCTTGCACGGAGGTTCATCAGTGTTGGGTGGCTCGAGACCATTTCGGACTCGTTCCTATAATAAGCGCATGTAAACGTGCGCATTAACCGCATCGCTTTACGTCTCTCCGCCAAAATTTCCGCTGCGATAAGCTAAGTGCTTTTCTGTCTCCAGAGAGGTTTCCAGTGTAAATGCTGCAAGCTTCTTCCCAGGCTGAAATGGGGTTTTTAACGCCAGACGAGGAGGGGGGCGGGGGACCGCAATGGGGCGAGCTCCCCATTTTGGCCACGTTTTCGCAAGGGGCTCAGCAGTTTTGGGTGCGTTTCCTCTGCGTTTGCCTGGCTGGTGGCACCTTGGATCCATTCAGAGAAATGCTGAGCGCTACCAAATATCTCCTCTGAAGGCTCGGCACTTCTGGAAAACCGGGCTGAGACAGCTAAAAGTAGGACACGCAGAATTCGAGCCGTCTGTGAGCTTGCGGCCGCCTGTCTCATGTGAAGCACGTGGGCTTCCTCGGTCTGAAGCTCATCCTTGGGCTGACCGAGGTCCCACTTGAACATGCCGTGGGGGCTGGGACAGGCAGTGGAGTCAAGTGGTTATGGTCACACAAATTGTTTTACTCCTTAAACACACTGGGCCGTGGAGCTAGGCAACTTTGCCCTAGCTAATATAAGTAATACCGTAAGATCAACCTGCTCCACTTAAAGAAGACAGAAACGGTGCAGGTGCCTGAAGAAGCTGGAAGAGGTTGGGTGATAGCTATAATTTCCGAAACAAAGAGCCCGGCAGCCGGCAGTGCAGTGTGTCCCACCCTCCCAGGCACAGCTCTCCTTCCCCTCCACATCCTTGCTTGTCCCGGCTTAGCATTGCCACGGACCCAAAGGAACCTGTTTTTTTCCTCCTCTTCTCCCTTCCTTCCCCTCAGGCCGGTGGACGAGCCCAGCCGAGACCCGAACCCCAGCGTCGAGCTGACTTGTACCTCCCTCGCATCCAAGGGCAGCCGAGCTGGTGCCAACGGCCCCATGGCCAAACCCACCGGCCAGGACACCCCCTCTGCCGTCACCGTCACCAACTTCTTATACGGCGTCTCGCTGCCGACCCAGATCGCCGTCGACCTAAAGCAAGAGGTGTCCTCCGGCCTGCCCGGGCTGAACGCGGCCGGCGAGGCGCTGCTGCCCAGGCCCGCGGGAGAGCTGAAGGTGCCTTCCTCACAGGAGTACAGCGACTGCTGTGGTAATAGCCTGGAGTTTGCTCTCAGACGAGGGCCTGGTGCGAAGCCCACCCCCCTGGCGCTGACAGGGGACAGGCCCGGGTGTTTTGGCGGTCCTCGGATGAAAATCGGTGCAAAGCTTGGCCCGTATGGAGATAAGCAGACACCCACCGCCATGCCGCGCGGCCCTTCCCCGGGTGCCTTTGAGGTGCCGGCGGGGCGCACCTCCATTTTTGCCCTGAAACACCGGGTGCTGCGCTGCGAGGCTGGAGGGGCAGCCGGGGGGGACGGTGGGGCTCGGTCTGGCCAGGACACCTCTAGGTTGTCACAGGCCAGGGCGCACAGAGGAGAGCCGGCGGGGCCAGGTCAGCGTCGCCGGCGGGGGACAGCACCCGGGGGCTTGTTCGGGTGCCCGGAGCATC